TAAAACATATCCATAACGTGATCTTAACAATAAATCGTGTATATATATATATTAGAATTCCATCCCCCTTTATGTACTGTACGTACTAACCTTTCAAAGTACATTCGTTTGTCACGTGTGCATTACATTTTTCAATTAACGTTTAAAATTATTGTAAGTGTGACAAGTAAAGTCATCAGACACGATGGGAATTTTTTTTTTTTTCTGAATCGCCCTGTTTTCTAAATTAAATAGAAAGCCATAATATATAATGAAGCCTTAAAAACATTTTTAAACAATATAAAGAATGATGAAATATGCTTCTGTAATTTTACCACAATTTAAATTATTATTATTAAAGATTTTTTTTACTCAATAATGATGTCATTCTTATCTTTTATTATTTGAAATATTATACGTACTGTACTGGGTACGTACGTACTGTACGTAAACGTTTTTTTTTTTTTAAAATAATTCATGTATTCCTTGAAAGTGACTAGCGTGTTCGAACTTTACATTTGGCAGTTAACCAGTGGTTAATAATATGCCAACTGTAGTAAGTGTTTATAAAAACGCACGAATAAGCAACATTGATTTTTTTTAACTGATGACAGTATGATGACATATTTTTTACATTATATATATAAGTGGATCCCCTGATATACATACAATAATTGTTGCAAAAACGTCACCCTTTTTTGAAAGTTTTGCTGCCGTCACCTTCACTCGTCATAAAGAGCGACGTCGTCAAATAAAGTTTTATAATATGCCTCAAGAAGTACAAGGACAAACCGCTGTTGACGACACCAAGTTGGCGACTGTCACTTCAGCCACCACAAATAAAAATAAACTTGACAAAAAACAAACAAAGCAAGACGAAATTTCTAAATCATTAAAGAGAACTGCTCCTATTGACATAACTGGTCAAGGTGATTCAAAACGTAAAGCAACTAATATTTTAAAAAAACCAATAGAAAAATCTGAAGATAATACTACATTAAAAGGTTCAAATCCTAGTTCAATTGCTGCAAGTGCCGCCGCTATTTTATCTGGCGTTCCTTCTACTGTTGCCCAAAATGTAGCTGTTGATTTAGCACAAGTAGCACCTAAACATCTTACAACTGAAGTTATGCCTGTTTCTACTTCTTTAACAATTGGTTCATTGAACTCTCAAATTGCTGTGGCACCATCAACTTCTAGCGAACAGTCTACAGTTTCCGAACACTCTCCTCCTAATATGGAAGAATATTTAAATAATAATAATAATGCTCAGGCAATGGCTCAAATTCCACTTCATTCACAAGATGTTAATTCCGCCGGCAAGCGTACTTCTACAGCTCGTAATCTTTCCAGTGACGAACGTCGACAACGACGACTTTTACGTAATAGAGTGGCTGCTAAAGAATGTCGACGTAAGAAAAAAGCTTATGTTGCTGATTTAGAGGAGAAAGTTACACGTTTGGAAGAGGAAAATATTCGACTTCATAAAGAAGTTGAAGAATTGAATTCAAAATTAACTATAAATAATTCTCGAATTGAAGAAAATGTTCGATTGCGGAAAGAAATAGATGAACTAAATGCTAAGCTTACATTACGCTCGGGTAATAATGATATTAAAAAAGATTCTAAATCACTTAATAAAAGTGAACCAAATGATCAGAAACCAGTTTTAAAATCCTAGAGGGTGGGTGATACATTAGTAGCTAAAAAAAAAAAAAAAAAAGTCTTAATAATTCTCGTCCTTTTTTTTTTTTTTCTTTCTTTTACGCGAACATTTTAAAAAAAAAATGCGATCGAAAAGATATCGTTAAATATCATGTTTACAGGCGCGTCCATGTAATATTTTAGTTTTAGGGACACGCTTTATATATATTTTTTTTCTTTATCTTTGACAAATTTCTTTTTTTTTTCATTATACAAGAAGAGATGTGAATTTGGGAATGGGAAAATTAAATGAAAATTGATTAATAAATAAAAAATTCAATTATTAATAATAATTTTACACAATTACTTGTTTTCAAAATAATATACAATATTTTTTTTAGTTGTGTGCAAATAAAAAAATTCATTATTAGTTTGTTCTTGCCAGGATGGACATGATTAATAAAATTATATAGAAAAGATCTTGGCGATATTTAATTTATTTTTGATCATTTGATGTCTTGTTATTTCCGTACAAAGTATATCCATGACTAAGTAATTTTGATGGTAAAGGTGTCACTCTACCAAAAGGTTGC